ATAGGTTTGTGTAGGCGTATCGTGGCACTAATTCAATGTCCAAACTTGGGCGGTGTTTGAAACTGCAACTTATTGCTTTAAAGTTGAATCATTTACTCACTAAGACATTGCTCCGCTTATTACTGAAACATACTTACTGTCCACACCACAAAGTTTGTTCATTAACAAAGAGAGATAAGTGGAGCTTACCGTGTAGGTATCATGAGTTCAATCTACCTGCATACATAAACACTGAATGATTTGCTTGTGATGGAAAGCGAGTAAACTGACTGGTGTCGGAGCACAATCTTTTCAGTCAAAATCCGTTCATTGTTATTAGATACTTTTCCTTGTTCCTTCTGTTTCTGAACTAGACTAGTTCATTATTTTCAAAAGTCGCTTTTTAACCAAGAACCGTACATTGAAATTTTAAAGTTTTTAGTACTCCCACTTCCTTTTCACCAAGTATCTACTCCCTTTCCCATTCTCTATTTAAATTTTACAAAACTGAGTAAAATATTAATGAACATTTTTTATTGGGTTATTATTCATCATTTGATGGGAAAATGGAACGATGTAATTTTCTTATATTTAAACAGTGCTAGGTTCTTATCTTATGGATTAGGCTATCTAAGATAACTTTAATTGCCAAGCTGAGTTTTGCTAATAAGGATAATTCTGTAAATCCAAACACCAGGGTCTGGATAGCATTGTAACCAGTGGTCCTTCACTTACCGGTCAGGTGCTCTACAAGTTATGCAATGAAGCCTAGTTGTTAGTCACGTTTCAACTGCGCTTCACTAATTTCTATGTTTACTTCATGCTACACTAGAGCACATAACTAACTACATTTCATTACAATAGTTATCCAGCCAGGTTTTTTTCATGACAATTCAAATCAAGTTGAATTTTGTTACCGAGGTGTAAGTATTGTAAGAACTCTGTGAACTTGGAATGCTACTCCGCTTAGCGATAGCGGTCCTTTCTTTTTTGTGACAAGTTCAATAGTGGAAATATATATCTCCAAATTACTGGCGTTTGTATTTGCTGTACAATGTCCCATAAATGTTCTTTGAATCCATTTCTAGCCAGCGTAAATGGTCCGTATCACATGTACCCTAGCAATCATAAAAACCTATATGGAATACAAATATTGAATTACAACTGTTAAGGCTAGATCAAACTTTGTAGTTTATATTTAGGCATGTTTTTTTAGTCACATGTTTAACGTGACTCTGTACGACCTTTGCCGTCCCAAAGTTTAATTAGATTCAGTATTCTCACTGGGATGATGTGTTTAAAAACAATGATCTCAACAATATGGAAGGACTAAAGAAACTGTAGGAACTCCGCCTGTAGCTCTTCTAGAGTTACTGCCGGTCCCAAGCCCGGGTAAAGGAGGAGGGTTAGGCATGGGGTTAGCGTCCCCATCCCGTAGAAAACTAACTCGCTAAAAAACGCTTACCAGAAAAAATAATTCAAACCATTTTAACTCTGCCCTGGGAGTTAGAAGGTCTTCATTTAGAAGAATTATGACGCTTCATGGTGAAAGCCGAGTTCCTTCGGAAGCCACGAGGCCGATGCCCCTTCTGACAACCAGAGCGACCATTTGTTTAGGTACATGGAATGTTCGTACAATGTGGGACACCGGGAGAGCCTTCCAAATTGCTGCAGAAATGAGAAGATACAACCTAGAGGTACTTGGGATCAGTGAAACACATTGGACACAAGTTGGACAACAACGACTAACTACAGGAGAGCTCCTGTTATACTCCGGCCATGAAGAAAAAAATGCACCACATACACAAGGAGTTGCATTGATGCTGTCCAAACAAGCGCAAAATGCGCTTATAGGATGGGAATCTCATGGACTAAGGATCATCAAAGCCTCGTTCAAAACAAAGAAAGAGGGTATTTCAATGAACATCATCCAATGCTATGCGCCTACCAACGACTACAATGAAGACGCTAAAGATCAATTCTACAATAGGTTGCAGTCAATCGTCGAGAAGTGCCCAACAAAGGACCTGACCATTCTGATGGGAGATTTCAATGGCAAGGTTGGAACAGACAATACTGGATATGAAGACATCATGGGATGACACGGACTGGGAGAAAGGAACGAAAATGGTGAGAGATTTGCAAACCTATGTGCCTTCAATAAACTGGTCATAGGCGGCACCATATTCCCACATAAACGCATACACAAAACCACATGGACTTCACCGGATCACTCTACACAAAACCAAATCGACCATATTTGCGTCAACAAAACGTTCAAGAGGACCATAGAGGACGTGAGAACCAAGAGAGGAGCTGATATAGCATCAGATCATCACTTGCTGGTCGCCAAGATGAAATTGAACCTCAAGAAGCACTGGACAACGGGGCGGACAATATCACAAAAGTTCAATACGCTAAAGTCGGGATAGACAACAATGGATATGAAGATATCATGAGGCGACATGGACTGGGGGAAAGGAACGAAAATGGAGAACGATTTGCAAATCTATGTGCATTCAACAAATTGGTCAATGGAGGCACAACACGGCCTTTCTTCAGGATACTAACAAACTCAACAAATTCAAGATAGTCCTCAGCAACAAGTTCCATGCCTTTCATGATCTACTCAATGGAGAAGGAACTACTGTGGAGAGCAACTGGAAAGGGATCAAAGAGGTAATCACTTCAACATGTCATGAGGTCCTGGGTCACAAGAAGCACCATCACAAGGAATGGATCACTGTTGATACACTGGATAAGATTCAAGAAAGAAGGAACAAGAAGGCAGCGATCAATACCAGTCGAACAAGAGCAGAAAAAGCCAAGGCACAAGCTGAATACACAGAAGTTAACATACAAGTGAAGAGGAGCATCAGAACCGACAAACGTAAATATGTGGAAGTTTTAGCAACGACAGCGGAAAAGGCTGCAAGAGAAGGAAACATGAGACAATTGTATGACACGACAAATAAACTCTCTGGAAATCGCCGCAAACCAGAACGACCAGTGAAAAGCAAAGAAGGCAAGGTAATCACCAACATTGAAGAGCAACAAAACAGGTGGGTAGAACACTTCAAAAACGCTTGAATCGACCAACTCCACTGAACCCACCCAACGTTCAAGCAGCACCCATGGACCTCCCAATCAATGTTGACCCACCAACAATTGAAGAAATCAGCATGGCCATCAGACAAATCAAGAGTGGCAAAGCAGCAGGACCGGACAACATCCCAGCAGAGACACTAAAAGCAGACGTAGCGGCAACTGCAAAGATACTCCACATTCTCTTCAATAAGATTTGGGATGAGGAACAAGTACCAAAAGACTGGAAAGAAGGACTTCTGATCAAGATACTGAAGAAAGGCGATCTCAGCAAGTGTGATAACTACAGGGGCATCCCTCTTCTCTCAATACCGGGAAAAGTCTTCAACAGGATGAAGGACTGCGTAGACGCCCAACTTCGTGACCAACAGGCAGGATTCCGTAAGGATAGATCGTGTACAGACCAAATCGCAACTCTACGGATAATTGTGGAACAATCAATTGAATGGAATTCATCACTCTACATCAACTTCATCGACTACGAAAAGGCATTTGATAGCGTGGACAGAACAACACTATGGAAACTTCTTCGACACTACGGCGTGCCTCAAAAGATAATCAATATCATACAGAACTCATATGATGGATTACACTGCAAAATTGTGCATGGAGGACAGTTGACAAAGTCGTTCGAAGTGAAGACCGGTGTTAGGCAAGGTTACTTGCTCCCACCCTTTCTCTTTCTCCTGGTGATCGACTGGATCATGAAGACGTCAACGTCTGAAGGGAAGCGCGGGATACAATGGACATCTAAGATGCAGTTGGATGATCTAGACTTCGCAGACGATCTGGCCCTTCTATCCGAAACGCAATAACAGATGTAGGAAAAGACGAACAGTGTGGCAGCAGCCTCAGCAGCAATAGGTCTCAATATACACAAAGGGAAAAGCAGGATTCTCCGATACAACACAGAATGCACCAATCCAATCACAATTGACGGAGAAGATTTGGAAGATGTAAAAACCTTTACATATTTGGGCAGAATCATTGATGAACAGAGTGGATCTGGTGCAGATGTGAAGGCGCGGATCGGCGAAGCAAGAGCAGCATATTTACAACTGAGGAATATCTGGAACTCAAAGCAACTGTCAACTAACACCAAGGTCAGGATTTTCAATACAAATGTCAAGACAGTTCTACTGTATGGGGCAGAAACCAGGGGAACTGCGAAAGCCATCATCCAGAAAATACGGGTGTTTATTAACAATTGTCTACGCAAAATACTTCAGATCCATTGGCCGGACACTATTAGCAACAACGTACTGTGGGAGAGAACAAACCAGATCCCAGCGGAGGAAGAAATCAGGAAGAGGCGCTGGAAGTGGATAGGACACACATTGAGGAAAGCACCCAACTGCGTCACAAGACAAGCCCTCACATGGAATCCTCAAGGCCAAAGGAAAAGAGGAAGACCAAAGAACACATTACGCCGAGAAATGGAGATAGACATGAGAAAAATGAACAAGAATTGGATGGAACTAGAAAGGAAGGCCCAGGACAGAGTGGGTTGGAGAATGCTGGTGGGCGGCCTATGCTCTATTGGGAGTAACAGGCGTAAATAATAATGAAAAATAAATAAAAGAAACTAGGAGGGAAAAACTAGAGGAAGATAAAGAATAATTACTTTTGTGTTACAACGACCAATTATCACCTGGAATCTTTAGATGTGGACCACTAAGTTTTCATTTTACAGCACAACTATTACCAAGTAGTTAGTGACCTCACAATACCAACTCAATCATCTTGATCTAATTTTCTCTAGCTTTGCCCGTAACACTTTATTGTTCTGTCATCTATAACCGTCGCATTACATACACAAACTCGAGAAGTGGTTAAAGTGAGCGAACAAGTTTATTATTGTCATTGCATTTAGAGAGTTTATAATACACTTATCTATTTTTATAACTTAACTATAGGCAACTGAAACTGTACGTAGAACAACGACTGTCAGGCAAACCACCTGGTTTAGCGTTATCTGAATCAGAACGCCTTTGTGGTAATTCTATGAATTATTCTGTTTATCTTCAACACAATGCAATAAACAGTCTTTCAAATATGAAAGTGAATGCAACCAGTACCCCGTCCAAGAAGCAAAAAAAGAATAAGAAATCAAACACGTCAAAAAGTCCCAATCAATCTTTATCTGAGGATGGAAAAACTGGTGAAAAATCGAGGTAATACAACTCATATTATTACCATCATGTTACCGAAATTATCAATTATTTTAACTTAGTCGTATAAAGTTATCGTTGTTGATTATTTTGGTCAGACTATACTACGGCCCCATCTGATAACTTAAATACATGAAATTCACCACAAAGCAACGTATAAAATTTACTGCAGGTCAACTGGCATTAAGTTAATTGTTTTAGTTTGAGAACTTCTCTTTTTCCTAATCAAACAGAAAAATGATAGTCGTCCGATTACTATCAAAATTCTGTGGACATTTTGTTTATAATGTCAATGGATCTATCAGATATACGTCATCACCTCGTTTTACGTAATGATAATAATAATAAAATAATGATGGTAATAATAGTAAATGTTGTATCTCGTCATTGAAGTTTAGTATTGGTCTACAATACTTGGAGAGTTACGTACCCAAATGTGGTCAGTTTGTTTCGTGGACGATAACGGCACTTCACAAACAACACCCGACAGCTAACGCATAGATAGGGAAACCTGATATTTAAGGTAGGAGAAGTATCGCAAAACAAATAGACAACTCCGTAAATGTATAGTTACAATAATATGACCTTCAAGCATATAGAAATTTAGCTAACTGGAAGTAATAACAACCAATCATTAAAAGCTACAGCTCATGCGTAAAATTGAATTAGAAAAGATTTCCGCATTGTCAACAAAATCTGAGTATTGTGATCGCCCTGAAAATTGCCTGTTACCCATCGTAGAGGAGCATAGGCCACCTACCCGGATTCTCCATTGAACTCTGACCCAGACAATCCTATTTCGTTGTCTCCCATTACTATTCATTGTTTTGATGTCTGTCTCCAATTCTCTGTGCAGTGTGTTCTTCGACCTTCCACTTTTCCCTTTGCCTACAGGGTCCCAAGCTAGGGCTTGCCTCGCATTGCAGTTTGGTGATTTCCACAATGTGTGTCCCACCCACCCCCAGCGTCTTTTCCTTATATCTTCTTCAGTTGGAAGCTGGTATGTCCTCTCCTGCTGTAGGCTGTCGCTGTGGTGTCAGGCCAACGGACATTGAATATCTTGCGTAGAAAACTGTTTATAAATACTTGTATATTTTTGTCGATGATTGTAGTTGTTCTCCACGTTTCAGCTCCATACAGTAGAACTGTCTCGACGTTCGTATTGAAGATTCTGACTTCGATATTGGTTGACAGTTGTTTTGAGTTCCATATGTTCTTCAATTGTAGGAATGCTGTCCTTGCTTTGCCAATGCGTGCCCGCACACATGCATCAGATCCCCGTTGTTTATCGACGATTCTGTCCAGGTGCGTGAGAGATTCTACATCTTCCAGAGCTTCTCCATAAAGTGAGATTGGGTTGGTGTTCTGTGTGGGATTTCAGGATCTTTCTTTATCTCTTGTGTATGTTGAGGCCTACTGCTGCAGAGGCTTCCGATACACTGTGTGTTTTCACCTGCAGTTGTGTATACTTAAGTCATTGATTTATAGACTTCGCACCGTAGATTTTCCGACATTGTTCATTACAATCTCCGTGACTGATTGAAGACCATTCCCACGATAATATGTAACTTCTGCAGACTCCAAACACCTAATATTCAAACAAAGAATTCTTTCTTTTAATAGCTCTGATGGAGTCTCTTTCGTCACAGAATGTTTAGCATTTCTATATTGCAGTAGAAATGTATCTACTCCCCTCTCCAGTTCATTAAATGTTGAAGCAGCGATAAAATCAATAGCAGTCTCAATGTCGCGACAAAATATTCCGCTTGACCGTTAGAAAAAGAGTGTCTGGGAGCAGTAAACAGATGTGTACACCCTATACCATTCAACCAGGCAGTGACTGCATCCACAACAAAACGAGGACCATTACCAGTCACTACCACCATGGGAACCCGTTCTCGACTAAACACCTTTTTTAATCCTGGACTGTGAAGTCAGAATTTGGTGAAGTTGTGAAAAAGCCTCAGACCACTTCGAAAAAGAATCAATGACCACAAGTGCATAGTATTTGCCAAGAAACGAACCACAATAGTCCACATGAATTCTCTGCCAGACCTCAAACGATACTGGCCATGGAGTCCACTTTGAAGGCTGATTTTTCAACTTATGACATTTCCCACAATTATTTGTTGTACAAAATATATCTGCATTTATCTCTGGCCACCGACATGTGAGCCTTACCGAGGACCTCATTTTCTCAATACTCAAATGTCCACTATGAAAATCTTCAAGGACAAATTTACACAATAGAGGAGGAATAGCAGCACGATCATTTAAAGACGAAATACCATCAGGAGTAGTGGATAACTCATCTCACTTTAAAAAATAGACAGGAAATCTACGTTTCAGATTAGCATCCCAACCTTTTCGTATAGCACTGAGTATACATCCAAAGTACATACGAGTTTCTCTCATGAGATCTGGACGTTTCACCGGTAAAGGTTGCACTAACAAACAGTCTGAAGCTTTAACAGGTCTATCTTGTAATGATTTCCGAGAAATGTAGTCAACGTTTCGAATTTGTTTGGCATTCCTGTGCTGGACCGTAAAGTCATAGGCGCTCAAAACAATACTCCGTCGTTTAACCGTAGCAGCTAAGGATTTTTCAGGATGATGAATGAACTTTAAAGCTTCGTGATAAGTAACAATAGTGAATTTCTTTCTGAGTAAATATTTATGAAATCTTTTAACAGTCCAAAACACAGCTAATGCTGCTCTCTATGTTTATGAATAACCTTGTTCAGTAGCAGTAAGTTTGCGTAAAACATAGATAACTGGTCTACCTTCCTGCTTCAAGACTGCGCCAATACCCACAGGTGATGCATCAGTAATAAGCATAGAATGTACGCTAGGGGAGTAAGTTCGAAGAACAGCATCACTTTGAAGAAACTTTAGTAAACTTCGTAAGCATGACTCTTGTTCCTCACCCCATTTGAATGAATTGGATGTCAAAATATTAAATAAACAATTGGCACGACAAGAAAAATTAGGAATAAAACGGGAATAGTATTAAAGAGCACTCACTAGTGAACGCAATTCTGTAAGATTTTTTTGGAGACAGTGCATTTGTCAATCGAGCTAGTCGTTTCATATGTGGTCTTAAATCATTACCATCAGCTAGGTATCCAAGACATTAGAAACTAGATAAACAAAATGAACACTCATTTGGATCCACCATAATATTCTTTTTGGTTAAACGACTCAATAAAGCAATAAGTCTGGTCATGAACTACCTTATCAGAACCATAAACAATGGGATCATCTGGATCCCTCCTTATGGTCAGTTACTCCATATTTTGCGCATTTATGTTCATTGAATGGGCAGAAACGCGAGAAATGCCGTGCCCCACAGTTCCAATAACTAGTGTAAGGCTTTGTACAGTGACGCAAATTTGAGTCATGTACACTATACATTCGATTCGAGCGAGGAAAATTTCGCGAAGTTCTTTACTCAAATTTATATTCCATTATACCGAATAAGTTGAAGCGTGGTAAAGTTTAGTAGTTTACATTCAGAAAGCAAAATGCTTTATATAATCATTATTTATCTCTTTATCTCATGCTTACGTGAAATAAAACGCACTATTTATTCTAGTTATAAATGCTTTGTTTCTCGAAACTGTCGAATCTAAGTACATCTGTCCGTAGTATGGTGAGTATCCTGAATCCAAGCGTTAACTACCACAATGTATTGAAATATCATGACGCTTCCGACATATTAAAACAGAACCTAAATATCCAACTATTTTTTCTATAGAGTAAAACAAGCAAACATCAGTAATATGGATTTGTATTTCACCAATATAATTTTTAGCAGTCATAACGATTAACATTCTGCTGTTTTTGATTAGAAATCGAACGAGTTCTAATGTCGCTTGTAACTCCGAATTTAAGAAGTGCGGGAAACACAATGTAAGTCTACATCTGTGTTTGGTTATTTTTTTCCTGACGTTGATGATGATAAGTATGATAAAACTGTCCTCATCAATTTATTATTGTAAATCATACTTTTTACAATTCTAATGGCAAAAAATCTTAAACACAATATACCTGGCTGATCGATTCTTGACAATCATGCAATATTCTTAAATCATATGCTTCTGCACAGGAATTAGTTGCTAATTATATCCGACACTCGGTTATAGTTGACATTTTATAGCACGTTATTGAGGCTAGCAAACGTAATTTAAAATTTATTTCATATAACCGCTTATCGGTTAGCGTCGCACCAGTGACTAGTCGTGGTGATCGGTTATAGTAAACATCTTGTACTTTATGACATAAAATAAATAAACCGCGATAGGCGTTAGATATTAGAAAATCAGCTATTGAAATGTTTTAGATTTGTCTCTTGTTAGTTATCATCCATTAACATTTGTCAGTTTAAAACAAGAGCTAAATTGTAGGACCAAAGTGATAATCAATTCACGTATATAACTTGGTCCTTCAGGTAATCTATGTTATCTGTAAGAATGATAAACTTATAACGTATTAAAACAAAACACCATGATGTATAGTTGGTTCTCTGATAGTACATGAATTATTTCGATAAGTTACGTGTTTTTGGCAATGAATATCGTAACGACAAACCAGGATCTTGTTCATCTAGTTAGTTACCTTTGAACAAATGATGTTATATGTTTTTGCAAGTCTGATGTATAATCACGTGTCTGGAATTTATTTGATGAAACCCTTATATCAACGAATGTTAACCACAACATAAATAGTCAGACACTAATCAGTCACATATAATTCAACTCTTTAGTGTTTTTAGGATGTACCACTAGCGTAATTGAGAAAATAACGAAATGTACGATTTACTTCATTTAGCACTTGTTACTTTCGTCAGTTAACATGTTTGTCTCATCTGCTTCCCTCAAATCTGTTTTCGGAATTTCGTCGATGGCTGGATTTAAAGTGAATAAAGATATCGGATAGACCTGCTAAAATGTACTTGGGTTTTGGAAGGATTTCTTGGGTGTTATTGATTTAGTTTAATGTTTCATTTTACTTTAAAGGGATTTTATTAACGTAACATAGAATGTAAGTTTTGAACTCAGATAATATGATCAAGCTGGACATTATGTTTCAGCCATGGTTACTCTACGATTTAAGTATTGTTTATTATCTTGAAGGCTATCGGTTACGTCGAATTTCCATGTTGTTTGACTAGTGTGTGGCAAAATTACGAAACAAACCATACATAATGATGTTTACTGACATGCTTGTTGTGTTTTATAGTTTCTTTGTGTCAAATTATGCAATAAAAATGACATAAAGGTGTCTGAATAATGCGAACAGTGTTCCGTTAGAGTAAACTATCGCGTTAAGTTCTAAATTTCGGGTTGTTTGAAATTATCGTCGGGGGATTTCATCAGTGAACGAGACATTGACACAGCAACCAGAAGAACAATAGTTAATGATGGTGTGTGCCAGATTCCATGACAAGTTTATTTTTATTATGAAATAGTTGATTGGTCGTGTGTGTAACCCTAGGAATATCAAAGTTCCTACCCATAGGATCGAAGTTAACAACCATGTGAATGAGTGACGCGTAAAATCCTTGACAAGATTGTCTACAATTATTGTACTGTTATTGCCTATATGTATGAAACGCAGTACGAACGTCAATTTGTTTACGATATCTACCGAGTTTGCGTACAGTCAAAGAAGTATGCTTCCCAAAAAGAATTTGGAAAGTTATTCATATGAAAATACATGTTTAGAAATCCCAGACATTCACCTGGATATCCTCTAGGATTATTGTTGGTTCCAAACCCTGGTAAACGAGAACGGATAGGTGTTGGGTTAGCAATCTTACGACGTAAGAAAAAATTCCTTAAAAGCACGTTAACCAGAACAAATTATCTTAGCCACCCTAACTCTACACTGGGAATTGAAAAGTCTTCATATAGAAGAGTCATGACTCCACATAGTGTGTGTCCCAAAACAATGATATCTCCCACTCTTTACACAGGTGAATTCACTTATTTGCGAGATGCACCAGCGTGACGTACGGACATTCATAGGTAACGCTGACACGACTCAGAAAAGGAAAAACAAGAAAACAGCAGTCAATAACGGTCGAACAAACGCAGCGAACCCCCATCCCACTGTCGATGCCCAAAATTGATAAGTTGTGTAAATGCATTGTGGAAATCTAACCTCAAAGGCTTATGCAAGTGTTCATCAATTATTGTCAATGAACGCGTTATGACTTTGCAGTTAGACACTGAATCCGATATTACTTTGATTTCTTGCTAAACTTAGCACGAACTTGGTCGGACAAGCATTGATCCTACTATCGATTGCATAAATAATCCATCGGGCATCCCAATCACAATTTCTAGAATGTACAATGTGTTGAGTCGACTTTCCGAGAACTGCAACGGAACCTCCAGAGGCCCTAAAGGAACCGAAGAGTTCTAGCCAATCAGAGCATGATGGAGCTTTCTAGAATATCAACGTGGTGTGCTACTATTAGTCAGTAGCATAATATGTCTTTTAGCGGATTGACCAAAATATGATGTTGATTTAACAAATGTTAACATCTATGAATATCCGTGTTTTTCTGTACAAAAATGAACCTTTGGAGTAAAGTGTTTTTCGCTTATTTCGCGCTTTTTCTCTCGAGTTCAGGTCGCTGCGTAGTTCTAGCTCGCGGGTTACCAGAATAGCTTAGGAACCGAATAAAGCGTTCAAATTAACAAGACTTATCACAATGTACAGTCAAATTTAATGATCTAACAATCCTCTCAACGCCTTCAATTAAATCCAACGAGGAGGATTTATTTTTCAGGAGGGAAAGCTGATATGAAGAGCCAGTCAGTAGTAGCCTATTGAGTAGGTCAATAGACGACAATCCTGAAGTGACCTAAAGTACAAGTGCATTTCACTGGTAAAAAAGTTGTATTAATTTCCTGAAAATCAGTATCGTATATTTATGAATGAGTATTTGTGCATTTTATTCGGTAGCCCAAGTAGCTCAAGTAGTCAGTTGGGGGTATTAGCGCGTAATACACCGTGTATCAGTATCCGATTTCGGACACTGCCCGTCACAACAGACTGCATGATACAACAAAGGAGCTAGCAGAGCGATGTACAGTAAACCAGAACGACCAGTCAAAGATGAAAAAGGAAAACCAATCACCGGTTTAAGGCTAGCGAAACAGATGGGTAGGCAAATTTTAAGAGCTGTTGAATGAAACAAAGTTATTGAACTCACCGAATATCAAAGCAAAGCAACACAACAAACCTCCTCATAGATGATACCACACGAATAGTAGATAAAACCACCAAGACCACCAGATGGACCAAGGATGGCAAAGCAGGACGACCAAACAACATACTAGCTGAGGCCTTAGACCCACATACGGCGGGAACTATGAAGATGTTGCACATTCTTTTACGAAAGATCTGACAGGAAGAACAAATGCCAACAGGTTTGTCGAACCGAATGAAAGATCCAGTAGATGGTCAATATCAAGATTAACAAGCTGGCTTTCGTAAGGATGAATCATATACCGACCAAATCGCGACACAGCGAATCGTTTTTGAACAACCAATTGAATGGAACTCGTCACTATACACCCAAATCATAAGAAAGTATTCAAAAGCGTGCGTCAAAAACCCTAAGGAGTTTCCCTCGACATAATGGAATACGTGGGAAAATAGTCACTATCATATAAAACTAATGAAGGACTGGGCTGAAAAGTTGTGCATGGAGAGGAGCTCGCAGATGCATTCTAAGTGAAGACTGGTGTCAATAAAGACTGACTATTATAGCCTTTTCTGTTTCCACCGGCTGTTGCACGGATTATTAAGAACTCCAAATCTCAAGGAAAGCTCTGAATACAGTGGAAACCTCGGACGCAGCTAAGTGATTGAAACTTGACACATAATCTAGTTCTTTTATCCCATACGCAAAAACAAATGCAGGTGAAGACAGCCAGTGTTGCAGCTACCTTTACAGCAGTAGGTCTCAGCATCCACAAAAGGAAGTTGAATATTCTATAGTACAAAACAGAGAGCACCAATCAAGGCATACTTAAGGAAGTACTGGACGACTTTTAAGCATTCATGTGTCTTTTGATTGTTTGCTTTTAAATTTAATATAACGAAACCAAGTTCATTTGAAGTTAAATGAGTAAAGAATATGTGATGATTTCGCTTATGTATGGATTCAGTCGCTGCCTTGCCATGTCTTAATTGTCTTTATTCATTTGTAAAATTAATTCTAATGCTTTAATTTGGTGATTGTTATATTTTATTTAGCTATTCGTTTTTATTCGATAGGCCAATTTTTCTTTCGTGTCAATAGTGGACGGGATGATTGAGAGCAACTCTAATAATAATAACAATGTTGATACTGGTTTACAAATGGTGTCGTATTGGCAATCTTTTCAGATTGATAGAAATAAGTTATTAGAATGTTTATGTAATAGTGCAAAGTGAAAAGATATTTTGACAATCCTTTTGATATAGATAAATGAACACAAAACTACTCATTTTATTTTGAGCGCTAAAGTATTATTCATTCCTTTTAAAAGTAACCAGTCAATAATATATGCTTTTATATATACGTTTGTACCTGATGTTTATATTCCTGATTTAACAAAAGTATAAATTATTTTTTAACACAAATTTATTGTTTTTATAGTTTTGGGGAAATAGTTTATTTCGCAGTTAGATCTAGTAGCATTAAATGTTGTTTATATAGTCTTGTTCATTAAACCAGATGGTTTATATTTTCTGGCTGATAAATAGTGACAAAAAGTGTTGACAGTGCACTTCGTTGAAAAGTGTGCGAATAGTCCAGTTTAAATTGGTGGTTTTAGTTTCGGATACAATTACAGCATGGCTAGTCTGTATTACTCTTTATGGTGCATAGCTAGATAGGGTAAGATTCATATATGAGAATCCTTAAATCCAAGCTCTCGTGCTTACTAAGTGTGTATCTTGTTTTCCTTTACGTCACCGCAATTTTCGCAGAAACAAAAGGTTAGAAATTCGACTTAGCTGAAATTACCATTTGTGTTAAGTGTGAGCACTAATAGAATATGAAGCGTAGTCAGAGTTCACGCTTGGCATTAGTGGGATTTTGGGAACCCTGTAATCAAGTGTTTATGCTTATTCACGTCTACAAATTGTTTCATAGCTGAAATCAAGTGATTTACTCTATGGTAGAAGTTGAATTCTGGAGACCATTTGTAATGATGTAATATTGTTCACATATTTCACTTGTTCTGAAATAAAATGTCTCCAGTTTCCATTTGTGAATCTGCGACTTCTCAAGTTTTTATTTCTAAAGTAATGTAATTACAGCTTACGGCACTTAGCATTGTGTTGGGATATTCAGGGAAATATTTCAAAAATTATCCTGTTAAGCCTAATGCTATCCTTGGACATGAAATGGTATCATCTTATTGGTCAATATTTATTTAAAGTGTTATTTTCCTTTTGGCCATTATTGTACAATGTTATCTTCTATTTTATGGTACGTTGTGGACTGCTTGATTGGTATAAAAACAAAGTATGTTTGAAATATAATGATTCATAAATCCGAGGCTGAGACTTGTGTTCTGGACTCAATTGACTGGGCTAGACAGGGAAGCGAGACCAATCAGAACCCTACGTCGTTCTACGTGTTTGCGCGTCTTTGGTCCGATCAATAATTCGCTACCCCTTAATCAGGAGCATTTATTTTTCACGTCATAACACATTCCATTTGACAAACCGAGTAGAAGTACGCCTTAGTAAGTATATGTAGAATACGGCTGTGGAGTCTTACTTGTCATAGGAGAATGATTGAATATTCAACACGATGATCCCCTACCTTAGCAAGAATGAGACAATGGAGTCCACTTATTCTCATACACTCTCAAGTTTATGACCTCTTCCAGGGAAGTCCTGCTGATTATCATTACAGAAGTGGAAATTTGGAGTTTAATCTAGAATGGCCGACTACATGTGTTGGAAGACCCTAGTCCAAACCAATGACATACACGGACCATAGGATATTGAAAGAATGCCATGTGCTACTATGAGACCTTATTTCCCTATGATACCTCATTTGATTGGACCTTTGGGTTGGAGACACAAGGAGATTCGTTACTGATGTTTGATGCACTGTGGTATTTGTACTAACTACTTTTTATTTGAACACTAGATATTGGTACAAGGAGGCACCAAATACATATCCACCACACAAATCTCATTTGATTTGTGCAAGGGCTGTGATGCTGCCCGGGTGCCCAAACCGAAACAGGTGGTTTTCTTAGGGGGCCACACTCAGAGCCTTAGACCTACAGGTCTGATCCACAAGGTAGTGAAGCATCGTAAGGATATGCAGTCCCATGATAGCCGGTGACCAATAATTGGTCCATACGCCGTTTGTTCACTCAGGATACTGGAGCCCATGTGCACCATTGGTTTGGAATCAGGGTTTTCCAACTCCCCTAGGCTGACCCTTCGTGTCCACCGACCCGGTTAAGGTGTCGGACATCCACCTTTCGTCCTCTCAAGTTCGCAAACACCCTCGCCGCGTAAAAGACAGTGAGTAGTAATTCACTGGCAGAGGCCATATACGCGTGAGCATTTCGAGAGGGTGGGCGGACTCTCCCCACTTTCGGCCGTACCAGGGTATTTGTGGTCACCGCATCTTAGCCTGGTCGAACCTGGGTTCGAACCAAGGACCTTTCGCGTGAGGTAAACATGATAATCACTACCAACTCCAAATATAATACGTTCCTACCTTAAATTGCACTATTTTGGGAATTCTCTGGAGCACATTAATTCGAATACTCCTAGTTATCATATGTACATATTCGATAATCTAGTGAAGTACTACAGCTTCATACAGATAATTAAACATGTTTGTTCTACTTAACGTTAGATTCTGCGATCGATATAGCACTAAGTACCAAAGCTGAGAAAGAACCCATTGACAAGTTATCCCTTTACACTTGTTTTATACTCTGTTGAGATTAAGCGAAAGTAAACAGCGTGGAGAGCGATCCGTTTTCGTTATCTCTACCTACGCCCCGACTGTTGTTCGTATGCAGTAAATGAGCAATACTATTATAGAATGAAGAAACGTATCAACAAAACGTGCCTCAAAAATAGTGACCCGACAGCTGGGAGAGTTAGACAATCCGGTCAACTAGAAACATGAGCGAGGAGTTTGAATGACGAATAGTGACTTGTTGGTTGCAGGTTGAATATTAGGAATTGTCTGCTTCAATTATGCAAATAACCTATTTCTCACAAATACCAACGTTCCGCACAGCGACCCCACTTGGCAATTTACTTCCGAATTTCAAGTATACATTCATATAGGCCGCACTGCAAACAAATGTGTACAAGGTTGCGGTTAGAGTATTGTCCAGTGGCGATCCTATCGTTGTTCCTTACATTACTCATAAAAAGAGTATGTTGTTCTTAGCCAAATGAGTTTTAGCTGATTTGTATTTTTCATTATGAAGTATAGATAAGTAGTGTTTTTGTCTAAAAAAATTTAATTGTTAATATGTTTTAATGTTTCACAATGTATACATCTTTCTGAAGCGTTTCTTAGTGCACCAAATGTTTTTTGCGTACAATACTGGTTGATTCTCAACTATCGTTAACCGAAGTTTTAGGACATAAATTGTTTGAAATGAATACACATTTGATAGAGCAAAATGGGATATGTAAAGATAAACAATGATCGGAATTAAATACTTCATAAAATTAATAATTTATATGAACTTGATTGCTTTATTTTCTGACGTTTTGATTATTGAGATGTGTAAATCGAGAGTGCGATTCAACCTGTACAAATTAAACTGAGATAATCATAGCAAGAATTAATATTGACGGTGGTAATTTGAAGTTAACAATATTTTAGCATATATATATCCTTCAGCTACTACTGGTGACTAATATTTGGGAACATTCGAATACGTTAAACAAACAACAACAGATAACATGGTCAACGCAAATAAAGTATGACCAACTGGAAAGCAACAAACAAACCAAGAAAAAATCAAACAATGAAATGAAAGAAGTGAATCAAAAAATTACAAAATCGTTATCTTGATTGTTATTGGTATAATCAACCAACCAAAGAAACAAGAAATGTAAAAATAATATTGGGACAGTAACTGTTGCGGAATTGAAAAAAATTAGTTTGTAAGTGGAATATTAACGAAAATATTAGAACGAATGCAAGGGAAATAATCGAAGTATTGTATTTTAAAAATGGGAATTTTGAAAGGGATAGGTATGCTCAGAAAGTATCCGAATCTGTAGAAAAAAGACATACATGAGCTCAGAAGCAACTTGTTGGACGACGTAGTAGGTCGATAGATTCATGTTCATATAAAGGTTGATAAGTATGGCCTCTTATTTCCAAGATTGTAACATGGCTGAACAAAAGGCAGCAAGTACACATACAAGCATAACTCAATATATTACACACAATACAGAATCTTTAAAAACATTTAAGGAGATGAAAACAAAGTATGTGTTGATAAATAAAGCTGAATATTGACAGCACTATACAACAATAGTATAAAAAACTATGGATGATACACAAAAATCAGATATTTTTGCGTAACTACACCTATTTAAATCAATATCAACATTATGGAGATAATCCGATTTGTTCATAGGTAATAGTAAAGCAAAGGCGCTTTAAAAGGAATGCTTTTGAATGTAGGGTGCGTTTGTTAACCTTTCCTCTGTGTAAAAATACTATTTGCTAGAGAATAATAATGAACAGAAACAAGCATTTAAAAAATCGCAATAAAAACGTAAGGTTTGGTTGGCAAAGAACAACAATAATAAAACAGCCCTAAAATGTTACTTTAAGTGTTGAGAGATTTGGACCTCCGAATTGTTTCTTTAATGTTTCATAAAAAACAAACAAGGAAAGCATCAAGTGAGTTTTGTTTTCTTTTTTTGCTTTAATCTGGACTGAAGAGTCGAGGATGACGACGAGGAAAAAGAGGATATACTATCTTCTGATGATGTTGACGATGAAGACAATGATGTAGAAGTGGATGACAAGGAGGATTCACTAGAATCGGATAGTTCTTCACTTTTATCACAATTGGATAGGATTTCCAGCTGAAAATAAGAATAAAATACGCCAAAAAATACGATACGCATTGTATTACAATTAATATAAGCGTGAAAAGTGTGACAAGAAGAAAAATATCATTATTTCTGTGACGTCGAAGGAATAGTAAGTGAAAAGTACCATGTAGTTCAATTAAACGAATTCGACTGATGTCTCTATGTTGAGATGACTGATAAAACTAATTAAATGGTCGAACTACGTAATAGAACGTGGTTCAAACTACTGATGTAGATTTGAATATTTCAATAACTGAACCACAAAATTCATGTCTGATCAAGAGTATACAGAAGTGTGATTACTGAGAGTTATAGTAGTAAGTACGCCTAATATCTACACTTCACGGATAAATAATTGAATGTACACGATCAACAAAAGAGGCTATAAAAAGCTTGTTAAATTATTAGACGAGGACCAACAAAATGAAAAAAACAGTATATGAAATATGAACGTTTAAAATATCATGCTTAGAAGTCAAACCGTTAGCTAAATTACGGAAAAAAACATACAATTGAATAAAATGAGAAATGCGTTTTTACAAAATAACGTGAATAAAAGATTATATACCTTTTGGCCGTTTCTAATGGAACTCTCCTTAGTTGCTAAATTGATTTGACGCATTTTGAAACTCTGGCATTCAGACAAGTGTTTTTTACTTGTTCGTTGTTCTTCCGAATGTGGCTTGTGAGTTTGACTTTCATTTGAATGACTGGTTTTGGAAGGTAATGACTTAGATTTCGAATTCTTCACTCGCGAAGTGTGATGATTACCACCTGAAGCAAAGTGATGTGATACATGTTTCATTTCATATTTACTGGCGAATTCCGAACGTTTAGAATCGTGCTTAGTTTTCCTATTCGTAATGGAATGCTTCCCCGGACGAGATGTATTTGTACTATTCATCATAGCGGACGGTAGTGGAGCGAGAGTGCGAGTTGGACCTGTGGACTGCTTTGAATTAGTCGAACGACACTGATGAGGAAGAGATTTAGCATGACCAATAACTCCCAAATTTTGAAAGCTGGATTTTTTCGTTTTAGTATTTTTTTGCATATAAGATTGAGAAGTTGATTGTTTTTTTGTTTGATTAGCATAATTCGAAACACTAGGTTGTTTTACTTTTGAAATCATAGCTATCTTATTATTCTTTCTAACACAGCTATCCACAGAGTTAGTTTCTGAGTTGGCATCAGAATCTAACGATTCGAAATGCGTATGGTGAGTTTGATTTTGAAAACTAGGTTTATTCTACAAAGAGGAAAACAATTGGAGGAATGTTATTTTACAGAGAAGATTTTTTCTTACAAATATTTAAGTTGTGATATGATGGGCAGTCATAATTAAGCAAGATAATCAGGTCTTGATATCATAGGTCATTAAACGATCTAAAAAAATGAATCACGTGATCAATCAGCTTTTCATATTTTCATAACAT